TTTGCTCATTTAAAGTATCAGCATAATCTTTAAAATGTTAAATACCAACTGCACCTATAGTCATAGAACCATAGAATATCAGGGTAGGAAGGGACCTCAGGAGGTCATCTAGTCCAACCCCCTGCTCAAAGCAGGACCAATCCCCAACTAAATCATCCCAGCCAGAGCTCTGTCAAGCCTGACCTTAAAAACCTCTAAGGAAGGAGATTCTACCACCTCCCTAGGTAACGCATTCCAGTGTTTCACCACCTTCCTAGTGAAAAAGTTTTTCCTAATATCCAACTTAAACCTCTCCCACTGCAACTTGAGACCATTACTCCTTGTCCCGTCCTCTTCCACCACTGAGAATAGTCTAGAACCATCCTCTCTGGAACCACCTCTCAGGTAGTTGAAAGCAGCTATCAAATCCCCCCCTCATTCTTCTCTTCTGCAGACTAAACAATCCCAGTTCCCTCAGCCTCTCCTCTTAAGTCATGTGTTCCAGTCCCCTAATCATTTTTGTTGCCCTTCGCTGGACTCTCTCCAATTTATCCACATCCTTCTTGTAGTGCGGGGCCCAAAACGGGACACAGTACACCAGATGAGGCCTCACCAATGTCGAATAGAGGGGAACGATCACGTCCCTCGATCTGCTGGCTATGCCCCTACTTATACATCCCAAAATGCCATTGGCCTTCTTGGCAACAAGGGCACACTGTTGACTCATATCCAGCTTCTCGTCCACTGTCACCCCTAGGTCCTTTTCCGCAGAACTGCTGCCTAGCCATTCGGTTCCTAGTCTGTAGCGGTGCATTGGGTTCTTCCATCCTAAGTGCAGGACCCTGCACTTATCCTTGTTGAACCTCATCAGATTTCTTTTGGCCCAATCCTCCAATTTGTCTAGGTCCCACTGTATCCTATCCCTGCCCTCCAGCGTATCTACCACTCCAGCGTATCTACCACTCCTCCTAGTTTAGTATCATCTGCAAATTTGCTGAGAGTGCAATCCACACCATCCTTTTATAGATAAGATAAGATATTGAACAAAACCGGCCCCAGGACCGACCCTTGGGGCACTCCACTTGATACCGGCTGCCAACTAGACATGGAGCCATTGATCACTACCCATTGAGCCCGACAATCTAGCCAACTTTCTACCCACCTTATAGTGCATTCATCCAGCCCATACTACTTTAACTTGCTGACAAGAATACTGTGGGAGACTATGTCAAAAGCTTTGCTAAAGTCAAGAAACAATACATCCACTGCTTTTCCTTCATCCACAGAACCAGTAATCTCATCATAGAAGGCGATTAGATTAGTCAGGCTAATTAGGATTATTCCTAGAGAACCTGGTAACAGACCTATAAAAGAATTCTTCCATCATAATTATTCAGTATTGATGTCATAAAGTAATCTGTGGTTTCCCATCAGTACCTATTTTATTATCATCTCTATATTTAGAAGTTACATATTCTCATGATAAAAATTAAGTACCTAGCTTTGAGTAATGTAAAATAAAAAAATATATAGTTCTTGGGACAATGAGAAAAGGACCCAAAACACATGTAAGTGGAGAACAAAAGAACACAAGAGATATTCAGCCTTTATATTAAATATATGTATACTTTTGTAAGAAAGTTATGTTGTATTTCCATTTTAGGGTAACTGTGACATGCCATACCATTCAAGTTACACTAGCAATTTACATTCACAGAATCACTTTTGTGAATTACCATCTAATCATGTAAAGTTTATCTGGGTGGAATACAGATTTTAAAACCAGATATCAAATTCACACAAAAGTTTTTAACTAGGCAGAGAGAAATCAAGTTGTCTTAATGTGCGTACTAACAGGACAGAGTAATAAACCGGAAGTATTTCAGCTACATATGTGGACAGAAAAGAAGGGAAAAATGCACAAGTTTAAAAAAATTGCAAAATGATGCAACCACATCTTTAACGTCTGGGAAGACCACCACATAATTGCATGGGACTACAGCATCTTAAAAAATTTGTTTTAATAGCATATAAAAATATTGAGTAAACAAAGAGCCAAGTCATAAAAACTACCATGAGGAGTCCCACTATGGCAGTAAAGTATCTTCAGGATTGGTCCTAATGCCACTATATGTGAAAGAAAGTTACTTCTCTATATGCAATGAGTCTACAGTGCACTGAAGTAACATTTGCACACAAAGAGAGGCATTTCAGGTCCTCAACACAGGGATGCTCTCAGTATATGCATAAGCAAAGTCATTATGCTGAGCACTCAGGTTCATGAAAATTCCATGTAAAACACTGATTGAGTGAGCTGCTACCAAGCCCTAATTTCATTATCAGTAAATCTGCATATCACAAATATAAGGTCTTTTCTGCTTAGCCTAAGTGACAGGTAAAGAGTTGATGTATAGACAAGATTACAGTCCTAGTTCAGCAAAGGATGCACTATTTATTCTGGTTTAAGAGCTATTATTACCTTCTAAACAAACTCTTGCACCAAGTTAAATAGACAATGATCAAGGTATTAGGGCAACTGCTAGTAGCAGGAAGGCATTAAGGCTCACTTATCAAATACAGCAATAGTACCAAGATAAAACAGAACCCTAAAGACTATTTATAAGCGTGCAAATTGGTATGTTAGTTACAGCTTGTGAAATAAATATTTTAATCTTCTCTACTCTAAATGAATAGTGCAATCCTATTATTTTTACCTATGGGAAAATGTGCCTTTGCACAAATAAAGCAACATATGCAAGATTTTAACAGAGCAGTGTAAAGCACTTCATAAAAGAGATTAAAGGAACAGTGGAAGACAGTTAGGTCTACCTTTATAGGCTTCTCTTGACAAGCTGAAGGACAGAACTGAACCTGTTCAGCAACTGATGAAATATCAAACATTAATAATTACAGCATGTCAGAACTGAAATAATTCAGGTCTGCAATTTCATGATTCACCATGCTACCTAGTTGAAATTATTTGCCATATTATACTTTTAAGGCTGTTTCATGGACATGCTAAGGTTTTATTTAAGCTTTTCTCTTGTTATTTCAGTGAAAATACTATCATCCTTTGACAAATGCTTTCATTAACTCTTTGGAGATGACTATCAGAAAAGAAAGTAAAAAAGATTGCTAAAATAGAATTAAGGATTGTTTCATCAATAATTTTTATTGATAAAAGATGCAGCACTTTGCTGTAAAGGAAATCCAGATGTCAGACTCTTTTATATACTAAAAGCAATATATGTTAAAAAGAAACAATACCACCTATAAGACATTGTTTTACATCTCCTTCCATTTCACCAAGATCACTTGACAAGAAATTAAGATGCTTTCAGGGCAGGGAGGGGAGGGGGGGAAGAATGGGAGAGAACAGAGAGGTCAACCACCACTGGAGGGCCTTTATTTGAATTCCAAATCCGTCCCTCCCAGTGCCCCTCAGGAACAAATCAATCAATGGTTTTATTTTGACTGTGATAAAAAAAAAAAAGTGTTTTTCAGAATGTGGTATTCTAGCATGTTCTAAGTAACACTTAGAAAAACTCTAGTGAAGCTCAGGGCTTCAACTAGACCAGCTAGTACGTGCTAAAATACAACCTGCCTTGACATTACACTAGTCTTTTAAAATATATTAGTTACCACATCCCAAAATACAAAAAAATCTTCTCATATTTTAGCCTACTCAAGGCAAATCCTATAAGTGGCCTTCAGCATAAAAACATAACATTGTGATGTTAGGATTTGTGACAGGTAATTATGACAATTCAAAATATTTTTTCAATTCTTTTAAAAATGTATATTTTAGGTTCCGTTCTCTCCCCCCACTCCCAAATACTAGATATTAATTTCTGGGTTTACAGTACAAGCACTAGAAGATTATTTTATATTCCTCTCTCTCTAGAAGTTCAGCATCCAGAAAACATGCTAGGAACCAGATATGATCCATCAAATAAGTCCATCACCCAAGAAAGGTAGCAGCCTGCAAACACCCTGTGATACATCATTTAATTCAAGAGATACCATTTAAAAATTTTACTATTTTGACTTGCTCAAATATTCCTACTTAATGGCTTTCGTTCCAGCCTTGACAAGGATTAGTATCATTAAAAGAACATGAATAGGTTAATATTCTCTAAGAATCTCACATTTTATTTATCAGAATGTAACTAACAAAAAAGTTAAAGCTATTACATTCACATTTTATTTAAAATGCTAATATCACTAGTTACAAAAACAGTGCACACATTAATAAAGGATGAAAACTGGGTAAGGTGTAATTACACAGAGACATATGTGGTGTATTGCTTGTATCAGATGCAAGCATACTGTGGGTGTCTGAAACACACCAGGATGCAAGCTTGTTGACGTCAACCATCCTGTAACTGCAAATACATTGAAATAAGGTTAAGTGTACAACTGACTATGTTATCAAGTGGTTTTATACAGTTAGACACATCAAATTCTCCTGATAAATAACTAGTATGGAAGCTCTGAGATAAACTGTTTGTAGCAATTTTGACATTGGAGATTTTGCTACATTACTTTGTTTAATGCACTAATACCTAATATCTAACACTGCCATTAATTCAGAAAGAATGCATGAGTCTCGACATGACTTAACACTTGCTGAACCCTGTACAACTGCTCAGTACTAGCACACTCAAACAGATTATGAACATTCTAGCAAGGGAAAGTCCTCCCTCCTCTTCTTTGCCAGAGCTAACAATGAAAATCTGCAAGCCTTACACACAGATAACTGCTCTGTCAACAAGATACCAGATAGCAAGTGAATGATTTACTCTGCGATCAGATTAGATAGTTTACTAGTCACCACAGCACAAAAAAGCATCAGCCACGTTTATTTTGTTAGTAGCTGTGCTTATTTTGTGCGCGCTACCCAACATAATCTTACTCAATAATCAAGCATACATCGAAAACCCAGAAACAGATCTAGGATACTTTCAAGGTAGAGCCTCTCCGTTCACAATAAAGGAAAAGTGGTGGTCAACGATATTTACCTCCGTTGATAGGCACTGGTGCCAGAAGCAGGCCTTTGACCTCCACTTTGGGGGAATCCTGCCCGTAGCGTCCACGATCGATCCTTAGTAACGTAGGGCTGACTCGGTCGGGGCTCAATACAGTCACGTTGATGAGGGCTGTGTAATATGCCTGACTGGTATTATCCGCGCTAGCCAGCAAGACACAGCAGTTAACCAGGACCCAGACGGGCAAGGAAGAGAGACGGTTCCAATACTGTGAAGTCCACTTCGCGATCATCATCTTCATCCGAAGTCTAACGAGCCCAGATGCAGGTTTAAAGCGTCTTCCCAGGCCAAGGCGCCGCCTCGAGCGCAGCGCGCGTGGTTATTCCCCCACGCCCAGACAGGGGCCGCGGGCTCACCGCGCCGGCGGAGGCAGGGAAGCCCTCGGGCCCCAGGCAGTCCATCTACGGGCCAGCAGCAGTGCAGGTGGCCCCGGTGAGCTACCGACGAAGGGCCCCGCCCCGCCCTCCCGAACTTGGGCTCACAGCCTCGGGCGGCTCCTGCGCATCCCGCCGCGGCCCGGCCCCCGGGGCTCAGCGCAGGGCCGGCGCAGCTCTAGGCAGCCCCCGGCGGAGAGTCCCGCGCTGTGCCCGCGCGGCTACGGGGATGCCTACGCGGGCTGGGGGGATGCGGCGGCGGCTCGCGGCCCCCCGCTGCGGGTCACCGGGCTGGGCGCGGAGCGGGCGCCGGCCAGCCCGAGGGGCGCCCGCCGGGGCTGCAGGTCTCCTCCCCGCGCGCTCCGGACTCCGTCGGGCGCTCTCAGCCCCTCCCCCCTCGCTTCAGGACCCCCCCGCCCCTCAGACTCGCAGCCTCCCCCGCGGGCGGGGATCCGCTCAGTGCCGCGGGGGCTGCCCCCTCCGGCCCGGCCGCTCCCGCTGACGGCTACCGCTCCATGCCCGGCTCCGCAGCTCCCTCCCCGGGCCGGGACTCCGAGAGGCGCCGACCCGACCCGACCCGACCCGCTCCTCAGGCAAAGCCCGCGCCCGGCGCGCGGACCCCGACAACCGCCAGCTCTTACTTCCCCGACTGCTGCGCAAGCGCACTGCGCCCCGCCCCCGCCCATCGCTATGAGGGGGAGGCGGGGCTCTGGAGAGTCACACCCACGTGGGGGCGTGGTTAACAGAGAGGGGGCGGTTCTGCAGGGAGTCACACCCACTGGGGGGCGAGGCTACCTAGAAAGGGGATGGCTATTACACTGAGGGGAGGTGCCTGGAGGTGAGGCGGGGCGGGGCCAGTCCAGTCAGGAAAAGGGGTAGAGCTAGCAGCAGACTGCTGCACCCCATGCCAGAGGGAGTGGAGGAGCTGGGGAGAAAGGGGTGCGTCCTATGAGAATCCTCCTAGCTACTTCCTTTGAGAGGTTGCAGGGGCTCCCTCCCAGCTGGGAAGTGCTGGGAGCTGCACCTTCTGATGCCTCGGTGGTGGAGCAGGGGTGGCAAAGCTGAGCAAGACCTAAGGGAGGGAGGTGTAATGGGTCTCTTTGTCAATGGGCCTTGGAGAGAATGGGCCTGGGGAGAGAACTGCCCTTCACCCATAGAGATAGGTCTCTTCTGGTTGGGACCACATGGGGATAGTCTCTGGACAACAGGATCGGAGTCTGCTCTCTGTTACTTCAGTGACTCACCAGGGTCAGTCAGGGTTCATGGTATCATATGGATGAGCAGGATCTTGCCCCTCTGTCTCCAAGACTGCCTCCTCTGCCTTAAATGTACTGAAAGGAAAATCAGAAGGGCATAACAACGTCCTCAGGTTAGACTCTCAAGACTTTGAGCTGAAGCAGCATCTGATCTTTGACAGGCTCAATTTTCTTAACAGAAAGAAAAGGAGTACTTGTGGCACCTTAGAGACTAACCAATTTATTTGAGCATGAGCTTTCGTGAGCTACAGCTCACTTCATCAGATGTATACCGTGGAAACTGCAGCAGACTTTATATACACACAGAGAATATGAAACAATACCTCCTCCCACCCCACTGTCCTGCTGGTAATAGCTTATCTAAAGTGATCAACAGGTGGGCCATTTCCAGCACAAATCCAGGTTTTCTCACCCTCCACCCCCCCACACAAATTCACTCTCCTGCTGGTGCTAGCCCATCCAAAGTGACAACTCTTTACATAAAAAGTACTCCTTTTCTTTTTGCGAATACAGACTAACACGGCTGTTCCTCTGAAACTTTTCTTAACAGAAGGATTTGCAAAACATAATTGCTGACATTTTTCCTCAGAAGCCCTGTCAGTGCCTCTAGGACATAAACTAGAATTCAATAGACTATTAAGAGCCCTAAATACAATGGCTGGGCCATTTTAGATACTCTACAGTTAATATAGTGAAGAAATACTTGACTCTACAAACTCAGTTTTCTGATTCAGGGATTTAGACATAAGGACAAATGCTGTGCCTAGAGCGTCTCCATTATTCTTTTAGCTTTTTTACCTCTAAGATCCAGAGCTCTGCTGAGTACCAAGCCAATCAGTGAGCATGATTAAAAGCACACGTCTAAAATGGAAAAAATGTGTTGTATGCATGGGAGGAAGGAGGGGTGATGTGGGAAAGTAAAAAATAATTTGGCCAATTGAAACTAGAAAGAGAATTTAAGTAGGTTTTTCACTACGGTGTAACAACCTGATTTGGAATTTGGCCAGGACATTTGTCCATTCCAGCATGAGTTGGCTTTTGTTTTCTGTAGAAAAATGAAAAAATTTACAACTACCCAGATGTTACTGAGTTAAATAAATATTAATATTAGATTTCTTCATTTAAATAACATCATAGAAGTTCCAAGGATCTGGGTCTGTGCATGGCTACAGGAATAATCAAAAATAAAGCACCAAAAAAAAAAAAAAAAAAAACCCTTCCAGGCCTCACATAGGCAAGTATTTGAAACTCCACAAAACTTATTTGTATGGGAAGGAAAACTAATTGTTTTTGTATTTGAAACTTATTTCTGGGAAGGAAAACTAGTAATCCAGTATTTACGTCTTCATAGGACCTTTGTTGAGAATACTTTCTGAATTCCTGAGCAAATAATTGTGCTGATGTTCTTTTGCAATATGCACTCCCTGATGACTTTACCAACAGCTGTGGAAGGCCTCAAGATAAGGGTAGTGATTAACCTTAAATATTGTGGTTAAACTGCTCCACTCTATAACTGTTGTGATGCACCTGGTCACAGATGCATGTGAGCTAGCAAAGAGAAAGAACTTTCTGTATTTTCATTTACTTGTAACCAGGCAGTTAAATTCTGTCCTTGGAAATGTCCGTGTAACTTCCAACGAAGAAGTGGGAATCACATGTGTGCCTCTGAGAGCACAAATTGGTCCACGAGGCCCACTAAAGGCATGTAACTTGTGGAATTGTAAAATCCTCTGAGATGCTGTTTATGAAAAGCTCTGTAGAAATGTCAATACAATGCAGGAAATGTCTTTGAAGCAGCAGTAGAATGTTCTGCTTTCACATCATATTTTTTTCCCCTCTCCTGCTTGGGAAATGCTGGGTGAAGAACCACAATGATTTCACTAATGGCCTCTAAGCATTTTACAAAACCTTTCATCCTGTATACAAGGGGGAGGGACTACAAGGCAAAAGTAATGACAAATGCTTATATTTCAATAATGCCTTCATAGGTAATGTTTCAGAACCCTGTCTCATCACGCTTGGAATACAGATGGTAGTTTAATTTTATGGGCCAGCAGCTCTGTGGTGTTTAAAGCAAACTCAGAGTTAGCACTTTTACTGTTGAAATACTCCTTTTCCCAGAGCAGTCCTCAAACAGCTGGATTCATCTTGGCACTGGTGCAGGCACCAGCCCCAGGACAGAGGAGAGGCAGTTTCCTCCTCCCCTGTTCAGTGGCAGCAGGGGGTGGGGTGGCCCACAGTGCGAGTTTGGGCAGCTTGCCAGGCTGTGCTAATTTGTGTCCCTGCTTCAATGGCTCCTATGCGGCTTTGTAGGGGCACAGAATTTCTGGGGCGAATGCCCCGCCACACACTCCTGCTCCCAGTCTGCTTCCTCCAGTCCATCCCTTCCCCAGAATGCCCCCAAGCCCAAGGGCTGTTGTGAAGGCAACATGGTGCTGATGGAACTGGCTGTGCTGGAGGCATTCCTAGGTGGTCCCTGACACCTGCTCTGTAGAGCATTTCTGCCAGCTGGAAGGAACTACAAGGCAGGGATGAATAGGGGTAAAGCATGTAATAGCAGGTTTTTGCATTTCTATAGAGAGCCTGGTCTGGAGGTGTGTGCAGCGATGGACCTCAGGAGATGCTAATTTCTCACCCTGGGTCTTGATGTGCGATGCTGGGACATTCACTTCCCTTCTGTATTTCAGTTTCCTCAGCTGTAAAGTGGGGATAATAATAGCAACCTCACAGGGAATGTTGTGAGGATTATTTGGTTAATGTCTGATCCAGCACTTTGAAGGTATAAGTATTAGTTGTTATGACTATGCTTCCATTCTTCCAAGGGTCTCAAAGCACTTCATAAGCATCAATTATTCCTCACAACTCTCCTGGGGATGAAATAAGAATTCTCTCTATTTTACAGCTAGGTAAACCAAGTCACTGGGACATAAGCTGCCCAGGGTCACACAGCAAGTATCAGAGCTGGGAATAGAACACAGGTGTCCTAACTCCCAGTCCCCTGCTCTAACCACACTAGACTATACTGCCTCTAAATTTCACTTGAGAATTTCTGCCTTTTCCCTCTGCCCCTTTTCTATGTGTTACTTTTATTTCCATTTAGTACTTCCCAATTCATGAATCTCCTTGTGGGTACTACATTCCATCATCTCTTCCATGTCTGCTGCATATTGTGGGCCTCATTCTTGAGCACCTTCACCTTGCATCTTATATCGTCAGTAGCAGTCTGTGCAAAGTAGGTGTACACCATCACCAAATCAGAATGGTAGATCACTTTGCACAGGTGTGAATGACTGCACAAGGGACCACCTTTTCTCTTGTGTTTCAACCCTTTTACACCACTCCAGCGGACCTGGCCACTGGAGAATTTCCCTAGGTAGGGCAAATCTCTCGCTAGCATACAGCTGGCATAATGCCTCTCTGTCACACCCCCTGTAGCCACAAGCACTGAGGGCCTAGTTAGGAAAAATGGGGCATGACCTTATGGCTCTAGGTAGTCAAATTTAAAGTAGAGCAGTCTTAAGGCATTAATTACAAAGGGGACTGAGCAGGACCCTGGCCAACCTGAGAAAAAGGGAAAGGTAGTTTAAAGCCATATTTGTTCTCTTACACCCTGTTTTTGTGCCAAGGACAGCACAGCTGCAAGGAAGCATTAAACCCAAGAGGCAGGCAGTTCTGAATTGTACCCCTTCTATGCCTGGAGAGGCAGCACTGGCGAGTGTACTTTCCCTCTTGCTCCCCACGAGATGCAGCTACTTGAAGAGCTGCAGGGAGTTTTGCTGAACTGGGTTGTCACAACGTCATCTTTATCTGCTGTCCAGCATGTGAGGGTTTGTCTACGCTGCAGTAAAAGACCTGCGGCATGGCCATGGCTGGTCTGGGTCAGCTGACTGAGGCTCACGGGGCTTGGTTTGTGAGACTAAAAAGTGCAGTGTAGACATTCTGGCTCAGGCTGAAAGGGGTGGGGTCTCAGAGTCTGGGCTCCAGGCTGAGGTAGAACGTCTACATTTCAATTTTTAGCCCCATAGTGCAAGCCAGAACCAATTGACCTGGACTCTCAGAATTTGTGCCTCAGATTTATTTTTATTTTATTTTATTTTTTTTTGCAATGTAGATGTACTCTGAGGGCCT